ATTCTTAAAATGAGTTTATTTCAATAGTCTTGAACTTATTTGTATAAGATTATGATTTGAGATGATCAATAAATGGAATATATTATTATATAATGGATATTAACTAACATTAGACAATACATTACTTTAAACTAAATAAATGAGAAATTTAACTATAAAAAAAAAAGTGTGATAATAGAATGAACATAAATTTTTCAGCTTCTTATTTCAAATTTTTGGTTTGATTAATAAAATTTTATAATTTCAAGAAACATAAGGAGCCTTTACTTAAATATAATTACAAGTACCCACTTTAGTTAAAAAAGAAAGGATTTCTTACTTTAATTATTTGATGATTTTAACCATATATCAAAAGCTAACACGGCTATTAGATTCATTGAGTCTCTTCCACAGTCTTAATATCGAAAAATTATCATTTAATTGATATATAAAGTGTGCTGTAATTACTTTTGAAAATCACTTTGGGCAAGTGAATCAAGCCCTGATAAAAAGTGGCTTTTTATTTACTCTACTTGTAAATTAAAATTTGGTTTTAGAGTGAGAAAGGTAGATTCTATAAAAGAAATAATAAAATTTCACATCAAATTACCTAATTAAATTGCATATGCTTAGGAAGTAGTCTTTAGTTTGTAGGTGACTGAATATACTAAATAGTTAAAAAATAAATAATAATAGGAAATTTTAAATATGGACTAAATTTCTTTTTATTTAATCAACCCTTAATTTTGGATTGATAATAAAGTAAATTACAGACTTAAGCAATAGAGTAGAATTTCTGAACTTGAAATTTTTCATTTGATAAGAAATAACTTTTCAAATGGACATCTTTTCTAAAGGTAAGATAGCATATTTGATCGCCTTTTCTATCCCTTCGATATTCATAAAGAAAAGCTTATTGAAGAAAATAAACCTAAGATAATAATTCACCTCCATTATAAGAATTGATCTCTAAAAAAAAGGAGAAAAGATTGAGCTATCACTTAGATATCTTAGTTGACAATTAGTCTTCAAATGCTTTAGGGAATTTCAAGTAATTTTTTTTGTTTATGTTGATTAATGGGCTCTGAAAATGCAAGCAGCTCTATTTGAAACTCAATTTGGTATCTTTAACTTGCTTGAACTGTTTTTCTTTTTGGAATATCAAAGCAGACCTTAATTCTGCAAATTCCTGAACCATTTACTGCAACCCAGAAGAAACTAGCTCTTTCAGTATCATTTGCGAAACTGCAAACGGATTAGGTCTTGAAACTTTTACAGATCACTTTAACTAGACATTTAACTCCTTCTGATGTGTATGACTTCAATCTAGAAGAGCATTCTATTAAAATGTAGGTTATATCTGCGTATTTTTTAATCTTTGAATTATTCCAGTATCATCCAAATACAACTACTTTTAGATTTTATAATTCCATTAACATCTCTTTATGCTCCATACTTATTTATGTAATATTAGTATTAGATATATATTGAGCTAAAGAATACATCCTTTTTATTATGATATGAAATTTGGATTAGCTTAATTTCGTTCGCTATTGGTTAATTAGGAAGCATCAAGACATGAAGTAAATTTCTTAAAAATTTTCTGTAGCTACCTGTTACTGTTTAGGTACATTCTCTATCTATTTTTTCTGCAGTACATTCACTCTTTATTTTATTTCACTGTACAACTTGACATCCCAATACAATCAATACCATCAGTTGTGGATTTAAAGTTATTAATTTGCAGTCCAAGGTCCAATTTAAATTCATGGCCAAAGATAATGGAAGCAGTTACACAAATCTTTTTGTACAAGAAGTAATTTATCTTGTGAGTGCAATTAATTAGAATGATTTATTATATGAATTTGTTATACATCTAAATTCCGTTATTGCTTAATTTGCAAGCTCCTTTAATAAGACAATTAATAAATATTTCTACTTTTCTTTAGCGATATTATTTATTTAAAAAAATTATTTAATTTATATTCACCTCCAATTGAATATTTACTTGTAAATTGATTACTTTGGTATTTGATAAGTTTAACATAAAATTGACATCATTTGATCATAAAAAAATAACTAAATTCAAAACCTTTATATAATATACTGCTTCAATTTACATCATAATATCTCAGAATCTTGGGACATTATGTTTGAATTATCAAACAATAGTTTCATCAGGTACTTTTTATTAAAAATATAATTGTTTATTTTGCGAAACAATAATAAAAAAAGAAAAATAATTTTAATTAATGATATCGATATTTAATTAAGATGGGTTAAAATTTGACGTCTATATATGAAAATTCTTTTCTACTTAATTTCCCAATTGTTACCTGAACATTATAAAAACTAATTCCAAATTCTTAAGAAAATGAAGCTAGTTAGTAACAATAATTGATATTAAAATATTCTTATCAGCTGTAATTAGTTAATAATAAATGCCTTGATTACAAAATGATTTTTAGAAATAATAAAATCATACATTATTTATTTGGTGATATTCCTTTTTCTGTGATGTGAATTTTTGATATTAATATATTTGATATTTATAATAAAGGTATTACAATAAATTTCTAAATAGTTTACTGATATCCAATTGCAATAAAGTAAAAAATTAGAAGTAAACTTCAATAGTAATTTCATTTATCGAAAAATAATATCAAAACAATAATGTAGAATTTTTCTAATATCTTGGATGAACTGTTTAGTATAGAGATATTGATATGATTATGTAGAATAAATATAATAAAATTGGTTTAATAAATAAATAAATTCTTAATGTTACACTTGATGAAATTCATGATATCTTTGGCAGCCTACAAGTATTTATGATAAATCTTTATAGATGAGACAACCAATAAAAATATCAAAGTTATAGTTATGAGTTATTACACATTATCTCAAGAAATAATTGATAAATTTGAATTGACTCTTAAACATCAAGACCTTAAAATATTGTCCAGGTGACATTTAAACATCATATCACATAGATAATATAAAGATATTAAATAAGTTTGATTAAATATTTTTTTGAATTTAATGCGTAAATTTGGGATTGTTACTATATATTTATGAGCTAATATAGAAATTAAGTTGCTAAACTTAATCAATATAAGCAATATATTGAATATTTCAAAGGATTCCATTTCATTTATTTGATTGTTATTTTGATTCTCAGTCTTCTCATCTATATATTATGTCAATTTTAAAGTTTTACGATTAATATCACAAATATCAACTTCAAGGGCAAAGCCAATTTAAAAATTAGTATTACTATATGCTTTTATTATTAGGAAAGAAGATTATAAAAATTGGATCCTTATAAAATTGCGATTTAAATCTCAAAATGACAATTTCAGAAACCATATTTATCAAAATGATTACTATAATTTTAAATCTATCAATACTGTTTTGATTGATGCGAACAAGTATTTAATTTTAAGGGTTATTTGATGTGATTTGATAATTCTGTTTCCTAAATTACCTGAAGATATATAACATAGCAGTTTAAGGGATCAAAAATTGCAAGAATAGCTGATCTTTGACTCAAAATGAGATCAAAAATCCTTTAATACTGCTACTGGCAACTTTATTTTGTTAATAATTTTTTTTNCTAAAGAATACATCCTTTTTATTATGATATGAAATTTGGATTAGCTTAATTTCGTTCGCTATTGGTTAATTAGGAAGCATCAAGACATGAAGTAAATTTCTTAAAAATTTTCTGTAGCTACCTGTTACTGTTTAGGTACATTCTCTATCTATTTTTTCTGCAGTACATTCACTCTTTATTTTATTTCACTGTACAACTTGACATCCCAATACAATCAATACCATCAGTTGTGGATTTAAAGTTATTAATTTGCAGTCCAAGGTCCAATTTAAATTCATGGCCAAAGATAATGGAAGCAGTTACACAAATCTTTTTGTACAAGAAGTAATTTATCTTGTGAGTGCAATTAATTAGAATGATTTATTATATGAATTTGTTATACATCTAAATTCCGTTATTGCTTAATTTGCAAGCTCCTTTAATAAGACAATTAATAAATATTTCTACTTTTCTTTAGCGATATTATTTATTTAAAAAAATTATTTAATTTATATTCACCTCCAATTGAATATTTACTTGTAAATTGATTACTTTGGTATTTGATAAGTTTAACATAAAATTGACATCATTTGATCATAAAAAAATAACTAAATTCAAAACCTTTATATAATATACTGCTTCAATTTACATCATAATATCTCAGAATCTTGGGACATTATGTTTGAATTATCAAACAATAGTTTCATCAGGTACTTTTTATTAAAAATATAATTGTTTATTTTGCGAAACAATAATAAAAAAAGAAAAATAATTTTAATTAATGATATCGATATTTAATTAAGATGGGTTAAAATTTGACGTCTATATATGAAAATTCTTTTCTACTTAATTTCCCAATTGTTACCTGAACATTATAAAAACTAATTCCAAATTCTTAAGAAAATGAAGCTAGTTAGTAACAATAATTGATATTAAAATATTCTTATCAGCTGTAATTAGTTAATAATAAATGCCTTGATTACAAAATGATTTTTAGAAATAATAAAATCATACATTATTTATTTGGTGATATTCCTTTTTCTGTGATGTGAATTTTTGATATTAATATATTTGATATTTATAATAAAGGTATTACAATAAATTTCTAAATAGTTTACTGATATCCAATTGCAATAAAGTAAAAAATTAGAAGTAAACTTCAATAGTAATTTCATTTATCGAAAAATAATATCAAAACAATAATGTAGAATTTTTCTAATATCTTGGATGAACTGTTTAGTATAGAGATATTGATATGATTATGTAGAATAAATATAATAAAATTGGTTTAATAAATAAATAAATTCTTAATGTTACACTTGATGAAATTCATGATATCTTTGGCAGCCTACAAGTATTTATGATAAATCTTTATAGATGAGACAACCAATAAAAATATCAAAGTTATAGTTATGAGTTATTACACATTATCTCAAGAAATAATTGATAAATTTGAATTGACTCTTAAACATCAAGACCTTAAAATATTGTCCAGGTGACATTTAAACATCATATCACATAGATAATATAAAGATATTAAATAAGTTTGATTAAATATTTTTTTGAATTTAATGCGTAAATTTGGGATTGTTACTATATATTTATGAGCTAATATAGAAATTAAGTTGCTAAACTTAATCAATATAAGCAATATATTGAATATTTCAAAGGATTCCATTTCATTTATTTGATTGTTATTTTGATTCTCAGTCTTCTCATCTATATATTATGTCAATTTTAAAGTTTTACGATTAATATCACAAATATCAACTTCAAGGGCAAAGCCAATTTAAAAATTAGTATTACTATATGCTTTTATTATTAGGAAAGAAGATTATAAAAATTGGATCCTTATAAAATTGCGATTTAAATCTCAAAATGACAATTTCAGAAACCATATTTATCAAAATGATTACTATAATTTTAAATCTATCAATACTGTTTTGATTGATGCGAACAAGTATTTAATTTTAAGGGTTATTTGATGTGATTTGATAATTCTGTTTCCTAAATTACCTGAAGATATATAACATAGCAGTTTAAGGGATCAAAAATTGCAAGAATAGCTGATCTTTGACTCAAAATGAGATCAAAAATCCTTTAATACTGCTACTGGCAACTTTATTTTGTTAATAATTTTTTTTTATTTATTATATTACATATAGCACCCAATAATATATTATCATTATTATTATATAAAACTTTTTCATTAGCATATCCTATAATTTAGTGAAGTATCAGCTAATACCTAAAAGCTGCGGCTCATTTTCATTTTTATAGATTACTTATATTTTGTTTGATTTTCTGATCAAAAAAACAGTGAAATGAAGGATCTAGAAAAATTTAAAGGGCAAAAAGTACTCCTATAGGGCGGAAATATAAGAGCGATCAGAAATTAAATGTGGTCAATATCTTTAATTAAAATTAAAATACATATTTTGAATAGCTAAATTAGATTGCTTTAATATTGTATTTCTTAAATCAACTCTTAAACTTTGTTTTCTTTATTAGATAAAAATGGTCATCTTATCAATGTATCAAAATATAAAAAACAACTGAAACAGAGCAGCTTATTAGATGGATCAAAAATAAAACAAGATCCAGAGCACAACTTTTATTCTTCTTATCATTTGAAATATTTTAGAAAAAGAAACCATCATTACACTTTAAGGCAGAAAGATCATTATTCGAAATTCTTATATCTAATACAAAGAGGATTGTGATAAAATGTATTTTGTTTTATCAAATGCCATAATTTGTTGTAAATTTATTGACATATCATAATTAAGTTTAAATAACTTTAAAAGTATTAAAAACTAGCATAATTTTTGTGACTTATTTCCTAATTATGATGATATA